TCAGCAGGCTAAAAGCTCAGATATCGTTGTGGTAGCTGGTGATATGAAATCCCAGGTAGGTAGACTAAGCTGGGGCCTGATTGGGGGATCGTCTTGGTTTGGTTACGAGACGCATGGACAACGGAGACCGATTACTGCAGATGTGTGCCGATCCCAGACTGTTCCTTTACAGCACGAATTTCCGAGACAGCATAAATCACTCGACAAAGTGGTGCCCATCCAGAAACCAGCACAGAATCTAAGTAGACCACATCACTGTCAGTTATCGGTGGCGGGGGTCGATCACCACCTGCAGCTCCTTCTGATACAGCAGCGCGGAATCCGACCATGCACTTGTACGCCGCTGCCTTTCATTGCGCTTTTCAGGTGTGTGCAAAACGCGCACACCTCGCTTCTCCACTGGGAAGTTAGTGGACCAGAAGTCAAAAGAAACTGTCGGAACCAGCTCCTCAGATGCCTGCCGGGAGGTACGATGTCGGATATAAACGGGCACTTGGGAAAGATATCCAAAACGCTACTCAAAGCCGGAACGTTTATTTGCGGTACAACCCAGCCAACCTCGTCCAAGCATTGGATCTCTTATAGGACTGTGTCTTTGCTGGAGACCTGGGTCGTTAGGTGTCAGACAATTATACTTTGCTATCTAAGCCCTCGGGCCAGACCAGCCCTCTGTATCCAAATGGGTCAGACCATTAAGTCATTAGCACTGGAAAGGATTCCTGAGGGGGACTCTAGCAATCGCTGCTTCGGTGTCCAGACTTTGAGTCAGAGGCTAGGGGAACGGTCCCCGACCGAAACACTACCTTCTCCCAATGCCTTGTGGGTCAGACTTTTGATTCAAAGGCTAAATGTAGGGTAAACCAAACCCCATCTTTTGTCTGGGTAACCGGGAAATATCACTTGACCATACAGGTCTTCGTTGACTGACCCCTCACACATCCTCCAACCAAGCATCGGTGTTGAACGCTGATGTCATACTGTGGATGATGATGATTATGATTATGACTATGATGACGCTGATGATGGTTTATCTAATCGGTTTAGCTGCCAGTTATCTGTCTCTTCGTTCCTAAGATTCTGCCTGGTAAAGTGGTAGTGGCCGGGCTATTGTAGTCGATCCTGCTGGATGTTCACCGCGATTAAATTGTCTGCTGCGCAACCAAATACCCGTTACTAATACGTTGACGCCGTCCAAAATCAACGACGCTTCTGAGGCATCGGTGGTCAAAAGCGTGAAGACGCTTTACACACTGTTCGCAGAGGCCATGTATTGCAGCATACAACAACACAACTCTTATTATAGATTGGGACACGCGACCCTTAAGACCCAGTGATATTCTTTTTTTGACGTCATAAGTGACGCGGATTAGCAAACATGGTTTGAGACTCTGAATTCGCGCACAAACTTCATCGGAGCTAATACAACTACCGAGGCATGTAAAGTTTTCCAGTCTTCAGTGATTGTCCTTGAATTGTAAGGGATACGTTCAGAAGCATGACTTTGCACTTTGTAGGCGCAAGGCGCATGCCAAAAGATGGTATAACGGTGTTCAGTCTGCTCAGGGTTCGTGCTTCATTTTGGTCTTCAAAAGATACGGGTGATGTTGTCTAACTATTCCGGATCGACAAGAATCGACCAGCACTTATTTGAACACCGGGGCTTTTGAAGGCCGTTCGCCTCATTATTTCATCACGGAAGAATTCGAACAAGAATGGAGTGGACATCCTTGTTGGCAACAGTTTAAGGAAGCTTTTGGAGAGCTCACCATACACTCACATCCAGAAGTATGTGGGATGCCCTGTCGAGCAAGTGTAGTTAACAGCACTGATCGGTCGACAGAATCAAACGTACCATTGAACTCAAGGAATACCAAGATTGTGGGTCGTCTGTACATGTGACGTTGCTCTAACACCTGACGGAGTGTGAAGTTGTGGTCAACACAACCTCTACCCGGCCGAAATCCCGCTTGATTCTCACGAGTCAAAGCTTCGCGTGCCACCGTAAGACGACGAAGAATCAGTGACGCCAGGAGCTTTGTCACAACAGGCGTCAAACTAACGTCTGTGGTTTCTACATTTACTGCGAGTACCGCTTTTGAAAATGGGCACTACTTTCGATTTACCCCAGTTGTCTGGGGCGGTCTCCTTCTCCCAGATAGACCCAAACAGGCTAGGCAGGCACTGGTTAAGGAATCCACCGCCATATTTGCAAAGAGCAGGTGGAAGGTCGTCGGGACCATCAGCGCGATGACGCCTGAGAATAGATGTACACTGGAACATTTTTGAGGTTGAAGGCGTCCCCATATTCACATCCCATCTTCCTGTTGGAGACCAGGATTCTTGATTGGAGGCAGCAGGTTGGCAACTGAACTGCTGTTCGAATTGCTGTGCCTAGGGATGCAAACGTTCTGCCTTGCTGGATTTCGGGGAGCCTTTTCGTTCACTGATGATTTCGTCGACAAGAGGCTTCCGAGCACCATTCGAAACAACTTTCGAACATTTTAAACATTTTTATCATCTTCCGTTTCTTTGGCTTTCAGGTCCACCAAGCTACTCGGTCTGCACGGACACTCATTTTCACACGGGATCGGATGATGCACCGGGTGAAGTTGTGGTGGCGGCCAGGGAGCGTCTGTAGCCGGGTATCCAGCCAAGACACGGTCGTATCAGAGATCCAGTGCTTGTATGAGGTTGGCTGGGTTGTAGCGCTGATTCTGGAAGTTTTTATTTCTGGATCCACTAGATTGTCAGTGGCTAAGCGAGGTTTGTACGTTCGGCGTAGACCTGAAGAGCAACAGCGTGCGAGTGCGTAGTCGAGGTCCACGCCGGTATTCCGGAAGGAGCGGCAGGCGGATTGACCCTCGCCTTTTTTTACTGACTTCGATGTAGTCTATTTCGATTCGGGCCTTATTCGTCTATTGGCACCGCCTGGTCGAATGGTCTCCGCTTTTCTGGAAATTGCTAATGCCAGGAAACACTCTTATCGGCAGACATGTGAAGCAGACGATCCCTGTTGCCCGTGAGTCTCGTGTCCAATCCAGGACGACCACCCAATCGGGACTCAGCAGCTCATAGTCTATGCACCTGGGCGTTCATGTGGCCATCAATCACAACAGTATCCGAGCTTTTAGGCTGTCATGAAAGTGCACGTATATCGTCGTAGAAACTGTCTTTGCAGATTCAGAGCTTCAGTCAGTTGGGGATATGCAGACATAACAAACAGGATACGAAGGACCACACTTTCTCTAAATTCTGTCACAGAGGCTGCCAAACGAACCTCGCAGAGGCGAATACAACGGGTATCTACACAAGCAGGGATGCTTCCGCTCGCTAGCTGTATACAATTGCCACCCCAGCATAACCAGCTGCAGCGGCCTCTGCATCACAAGAGGTGCGCAGCCGGAACCTGAAAGAGAGCTAAGGAACAGTGAGTTCAATCACGGGATTTGCACCCTACATCCTTGTTTCTGACAGACAGCATACAACAATGCAGAGATAATCCAGTGTACAGCATGAGCCTCCTGTTGTCCTGCTTGCTCCAGTGTGCGGTCATTAAAGGCAGCTAGGTAGACAGGCTTTCAGGGGTTTGGAAACAGATTTTGAAGTGTTTATGGCCATTACTGAAGTCGGATGTGCAGAAGCTGCAACTGAGTGTGATTCGCGGTGAGCAAAACGGTCAGTCCTAGTGCTAGAACCTACTGGTAGAGTGTACCACGTTGGGTGGGGTAGTGTAGAAGAATCGTTCAGTCGTGGAACCCTTTCGGTGCCTGTCATACCACCTGAAGGAAGCACGGGGGCTGGGATACTGCCAGGTCGCCCAAGCCTACACAGGGGCAGTTAAGGGGCAGATGTCGGGTTCTAGCCACGGAATAGAAAAAAATAAATAAATCGTTCAGGTGTGGCACCCTTCCGGTGCCTAGCTGCCATGCCACACGAAGGAGGCACAGGGGCTGGGATACTGCCAGGTCACCCAAGCCTAGACAGGGGATGTCTAGTGGCAGAGGTCGGGTTCGAACCACGGACCTTCCGGTCAGTAAATTCGCGCTCTAACCACTGAGTCACCCCGCTCCCGGTAGGGTATATGAAAGAAACTCAAAAGTGTAAGAAGGGAGACGTGAGCAATAGCATGTTTTCACTTACTCGCTCTAATGTATGCAGCAAGTAGGGTGACCAGGCTGGTGACACCACGCGACAGTCCTTGGGGCGTAAGAGTGTTGTCAGTTGTAAGTGTCATGGTTGTACATGGGCTGGGATACTGCCAGGGTGCTCAGACCTAAACAGGAGGACGATCAGAGTCCTCAACCAAATCCTTTGGCTCAAAAGCCCGACTGCAAGGCAGCTGTGTTTGGCGGGAAGTGCAAATGAATTACCACTTTTATAGAACAAGTCGCTACACATTTTCAAACCCTCAACCTGGAGAGCCAGGAGACTGTGTTGGTCAGACCTCTAACCATTGACCAGTCTTGTATGAAAGACTCTGACATGGCTGACTGACTGACTACATGACCTAGTATAGCTCAATCGGTTACGGAGGCACGCAAGCCATCACACCACCGTAAAGGTTGACTGAGAAGTTCCTTGAACTCGACGCGCACAATGATGAGTTGGATGACGGTTGTGAAAGGGCCAAAGAAACCATGTCTGCAGACCTCTACACTATCTGCCAGAGCTCCCTCACACACTGGTGCCGTCGTTGTCCCATCGCTGCGACCTGAGTTTCTGGATCACCTCATAGAAATCGGCTAGTCTGATTCTTTTTTTGAGGCGTTCATTTTGAATTACTCCAACTTATCAATATTAGCCCTCCTTTCGGCAACGAAACATCGGCGTCAACACTGGTGTTCCTCTATGATGATAATGATGGTTTGCCGCTCGGGGTCTTCAGGGTAGTTTCTCACCTCCAGAAAGAACCAATCTAAGTTCTGTGAGTGTTATTTCACTGTTCCTCGTTCTTGGAGGTTGTTTGATATCCATGCATTTATTACCGTTCTTTTCAGCTTATTGAATTCCTGACATGATTGGATTGTGTGACCAGGTTCTGATGCAAACACCACTATGAACAGTTTTCGACTGGAGCGAATACCTCTCCCGGAATTTTCCACTTACCTCATATATACGGCATTATCTCTGATCGGTTCAGTCCTGCGACTATCGTACGTCGTTCTTCAGACTGGTCTTCGTCCGAATTTGTCGAATGAGACCACGGTTGCTTTCACAGCCACGATCAGCTCCCTCTGTGTCGAGGACACATGGTTCTTTTGGAGTTGTATAAACTTTGCCTATTGTTTGCTCATTTGTGCTGGGCGTGAGTTACAGCATCTTTTCTTTGGAGAACTTCGTGAATCAGAAAATACAAACATTCGGGAGAATTTCTCCAACTTCATATTTTATAAGGTTGTGTTTGTTTACGGTATATTGAATGTTGATGCATTGCACGAACTACTTCTGTGGGCCGGGTGGTTTTCTATTCTTGGTTTCCTTCATCTCTTGACCGGTCTCGCCAAAGACCGGTTGGAATACATTGTACAATCTTCGAATCATTTTGTGCCACCACTTCGAATTCTGTGCCTTTTGTTCTGCATCCTCGTTTCGGGAAATCTGTTGACGGCTATATCTGTGGCTTTTGGAGCTCGCTACTCACTAAACTTGATGTGTTTCATGTTGGCCGAGGTGTTCCAATTGGTTGTAAAGACCCTGTACATCGTCGTCTGGTACGCCATTCACTTATACTCGGAAGCAGCGGCAGCCCAACGGACCAGTATGGGTGAATTCTACCATAAATCTCTTTCAGTTTACCATGCCGACATGTTATTCTCATCTGTTTCCGATCTGGGCGATGTTCTACACAACGTGCATTTGTTGTGTTGGAATGGCATTCGGGTCAATATGTCTGCCATTATTGTTGGAATGCATTTGCAACATTTATATCATAAACTTTCTAAGCGAATTCGTCATCACAAGCATTATCAGAAATTGATTCACATGCTTGACTCTCAGTCCATACGAGCAAGTGTGAGTTCCTCTATTTCCTCTACCATTTGCCCATTCCCTTATTAATTTTCATCTATACAGTGCATTGCGTTTAATTAACCAGTGTAGCTAGCTACTTCCGATGCACTATTTTGGTTGTTCGTAGATTCTGATCTCACTGCTGCAGGCAACTACTATTGTGCGTGATCGACTTAATCCAGATTAATTGAATTAGTCGTTTTAGATATCTGATCCTCAGGTCCCAACTGCAAGGATCGATCAGCACGATGTGTTTCGTCGGTAAACCTGATTAGAGGAAGATCTTATCTCCATCCAATCTCATTAAGGCTTTCTTGACGACCAGCACAACTAATGCACCTTAGTAGGCGATGCCAAACACTCTTCCATGATGAATAGACCCCTTTTACCACATGTTATTTTCACAAATGAGAACCCGTTTGCAGTGAAACCATGTACAGCACAAGGCATCTTGTTGCAATGATACAACGAGTTAGTTAGGAACTCGTTCACTAGGCCAGAGATAGCATCAGACGGGCGACAGCTTTACCTGGATCGACTGGCCGCCTGAGTGGATGACCCACCATCCAAGAGTCATAAGCATGATGCCTCACATACAGCTCAAAACTAATGCGAACACAGGCATGTCGCGTACACGTGTGTTGTCAGGCCGTCGTTGGTCTAATACACAATACTGTTTACGTTTGTTTAGATACTAGGGTTGTATGGGTCAAGCGCTTAGCGAATCCTACTGGAATATCTAAAATGTGGACGTAGAATTTCGTCGACGATGTTTCGATTTGGGATGCCGCTAGGCTCGGACGACGGTCTGCTTAGCGTAAGTGGCGTATACAGCCGTCTGGGAGTTTTCTCACTTTCCTTCTCAATGTGATTGTGTTATTGGCGATGGCACTAGCAATCTCTAGTGAGGTTATTGGCGTATTTTGACCTTTTGGGGTATAACGCTTCCGTAGCCGAATTAATCAATGGTCTCCAAAATTTTACCGGAATTTCTATGTTTCCGTTGATATATGTCCCGCTTTCTGAGTTCCTCCCGGTTGCTTAGTGGCAACTAGAAGTTGCGGTGTATTAATTCTAGTTCGTAACTGCCTTCCAAATATCGATCCCACTAGCGTCTGTAGTTGTTGATGGTTCGTTCATAAGGTGAACCATCCCGTTTGCCTTTGGATTGTAGGGTACTGTCTTAGGGTGCTTGATGGGATTGTCTATTCCTTGTCTATTCCTTGTCTATTCTTGTCTATTCCTTGATTTGTCATTGCGGATATACTCCGGTGTTTCAAAACTAGCGAGTTGCTAACGGGACCACATATTCAAAACACATAATGTACTCTGTTCTCCGGTGTAAAGGCAGGTGGAAACCAATATAATTTTTATGCCCGGAACTTGGGCGAAAAGTCCTATGATGTTGACTGCAATCTTTAACAACGGTCGCGCACAGAGTACGCGGTAGGTTGGACTGAACTTGTAGTGTTTCAACACTCTTGTTCGTATGTTGGTAAGGGGAAAATTCTGGGATCACTTGGGATTTCATGAGTATGATTTCAGTGTGACTTATATGAGCAGAAGTGATATTCTATGAAGCCAGGTACGACCCTTACGCATAAGACATCCGTCTCCTAATGACATTGCAAAACACTAATATAACCGAAGAAATGTTCTTCAAGCTGCCAGGTACAATTAATCACTCACAGCTGTAAGAACTTTCTTGACTTATGTTATCTAGAGTTCGGAATTTGAAATTTGCTTTCATTTCGAGTTCACTTAACTTAAAATTTTCACCTCAGCTGTTTAGTCGTGGTCGAGAGAGCACACGAGTCACTTGATAGTCTGTTCCAGCTCAGTGAACGAAGGAACGACAACCTATGCTACCTGAGCTACCATCATTAACCTCATTTGCAAACTAATGAGTACTGTCGGCTTTGTGTAAGTAAAGACATGAGGCTTGACCGTTGTGCGAATTAGTGTCTAACTAAATATAAATGCCACTTTGCGGACCCACATATATACAAGTGTCCCCTTTTTTCTTGCTAGTTAATTTCTCTGTTTTGGGAGGCAAATATTATTGCTCTCACCTGACTCTGTTGTATCTGTGATAAAGCTGCCCCATGGACCACATCGCGTGCACTACCAGATGTGAAGGTAGATTCATTAAATCTAGTAGCAGTGGATGCAGAAGCAATCATGAACTGAATGGCTGAATAGGCATCTTTTTGTTTAGAACTTCAGCTTGTGTGATGGATCAAAAATAGTATCAGCGTTTTAGGTGTTATGGGTAGTACGACCATAGACCGAGATTCATTGACGTTTCCAGGCCATGGAAATTCGAGAATTGCACGCATGCTATCTGTGAGTGGTTGGGCTTCAGCCTTTCAGACGGTATCAATCAATTTTTGGGACCATAACGTGGCAGTTTCGAGTACTCAGCCTTAAAACCAAGTTTTCTTAACCGACTCAATACAGTATCTAGATTTTTCGGTGATCATCGCCATAGGTTTTGCAACATTTCAAATCCATAAGGACGAGCTTAGTGAAGTCCTATGCCGTTGGGTCGCTGCTGAGAGATTTGTTGACAATGCTCGTCCGGTGTAATTAAAGCTTTCAGATTTTCCGAACCATCAACGGGAGGCTTGAGAAAGCGCATATCCAAAGTGTGTGTCCGTTCTGGAGAAAAATCCTCACCCCCTTTAATTTTCACCACGAACTCAGTGGTCGTCGGAAAAAGGATTTTCCAAATGACCGTTTGTTTGTCCAGTACAGACAAGTCATTACACAATCGAATATTGCCGTCCTTTCTCAAATCAACAGCCAGTGAGTGCGCTATTTTGGAACACCGTTTAGGTTCATTGTTATGACGTTTTTGGCAGGGCTTTGAAACAGCCTCATACTTGGCTAAGGGCAGTGACACGCGTGGAATTACCTTAGCTTGCTGCCAGAGGGAAGGCTCACTGTTCTTGATATCCGCACTTTATGTTCTGTCATCCAGTTCAAGCTTGATCTAACTGAACTCCAGTAATTGCTCAGATGTAACACCCTTGCGGCGCCTAGCTCCGCGAAGGAAGCACGAGGGCCGAGATACTACCAGGCTGCCCAAGCCTACACACGAGCTGTCGAGATTCTGGGGCTGGTTTCGAATCACAGACCTTCCGTTCAGTAAATTCACGCTCCAACCACTGGGTTATCTCGAGCTCACTCCGTAAGCGCGCTGGATTGTTGGAGGAGCTTCCAAAAATAACTATTTTTGGATAGTCGCGTGTGAAAACAGTTCAGTATGATTGCCACTGGACAATCAATTCCATTCGCAAAGTAATAGTTTAGTCAGAATGCACTGTCCTTATTTCAAGTAGTCAAAGCTTCGGTTCAGAAACGGTACTTGTGGAAGGTTAGATTTTTACGTAAAATAGACCAGACATGGATGAGGCATTGATTAGGTAGGAGTAAACAACTAGGTATTGCGGGCGGTGACTGTTGTATTTGATGTGTCAATACAGAGCTGTTAGTGGGTTTTTCATTGGTAGATCGAGAGGGGAAGTTATGTATTGAAAGCGACAACTTCGACGCATGCGCGCGACCAAACAAGGCGTTCCCATTTATCATATAACCAGCACCGAATACCCTATGTGTTGCATATGTCCGTACCGATACCAGACAACAGGTGATGTCATAGTATATCTGATAGCAGAGGATTCTGACGGATTAATTTAGAGTGCTCATGCCCATCAGATATGGCTTGAGCCAGATCACACGCAGGTCAACTGGCCCTCCTAAAGGCATTCTTTCGGAATGCCGTTTACTATTTCTTGCAGTAGAGACACTTCATTGACTTTTTTGGCAGAGTTTGTTATGCTCACAGGGGCGATCTGAATATTTGAGCCACCATGCCTTCGGGCGCTTCTTGGATCGCTTGAAAAGTGTGGTCATTCCATGTACTTGTTCGTTTGTGTGTCTGCCAGAAATGCACACATTGTCCTTCAGCGTCTTTTGCTTTGATATGTTCAACGCGTGGACGAGACGCATTCATCCACAGCCCAGCCTATAAGTGGGCTAGTCGCTTGCTTTCACGTTTTATCTACCGCCACCTCTAAATATTTGTGAATGGCTCTTTCCAGTCACCCCACTTGTCACTTGTTTGCATCCTCGTTGGGTCATTCTGAAACTGGTATCGAGGCCAATGACAACAGAAGTCCTGCTCTCAAATGGAGCCCAGTGGTAGTAAAGGAACGTATAATGAGTGCAATGCAACCTAATTCAACGGTTCAACGAATCGGGCAGCATCAATTAGATGACCGCTTTTCGTAGATCGACTGAGTGTTTGAGCAGGGGACATCAGTGGTTACACAGATGCGGGCACCGGCTCACACGCTAACAGTACCAAAAAAGAAGAATGCAAACATGTCACATAGGGATGTGACCGAGTGGTCGTTAGTAGCATATTCAGGCCCTCCTGTACTGCTTATAGGTGAACGGGCTTGACCCCCGTGTCACCTAGGAACCAATGCATCCGAGCATAATCGACAGTATGCCAAAACACTGGAATAAGGTCACTATAGGTGAAAACTGAAGTGACTCGAAGTTCTTGTCTACTATATTTTAAATAGAAATTATAATGGCAAGACCAAATGACCCTGAGTAGAATGTAGTTGGGCTATTTTCCGACAGAAAATTCCCATAATTCTAGGTGTTATTAACAGCTTAATTTGATTTCTCAGTAGGGTTGCATATCCTAGTGTTGCTGTGTTTTATCTCGATTAGGTTGAGAGCTGCCCATTCATGACGGATTCCATGAAACAGTAGCCGTACGTGTTCTGGCACAGTACTCATCTTCACTGGAGTGGGTATTTCCCTCCGTTAAATTAAAGATGTGCTATTCTATTCATTCATCTCCATTCTGTGTTACCGCTGGTAATTTTTCTGCTTTTAACCAGTTTGATATTCACCATTCCTGCAAAGGGTCGCTGACTATCAGTCAAGCCTCCCCTTGTAAACTACTGTTAGAAAGAGCGAAGTGCATTCTTCACAGTCAGTGGGTTCCACACATTTTTTCTTCTGAGCGTGGAAAATCTAGAAGTTTTGTATTCTGAAGACTGCGCTCATTTCACATTGATTGCATTCACATTTAGGCTGTGCTGCCAATCTGAATCCGTAAAACGTAGGACAACAGTGCGTCTGGCCTCGTTTTTGTTTTGTCGGAACTGCAGTCCGTGGGCATTTGTTTTGCTGTTCATGAACCACAATCGTTCGGGTGATTTATGGCGAGGCGTCAATAACTGCCACAGGAGCTTTTGTCACAGACAACTATTGGGTCGGATCCATGTGTGTTATTGGGCTTCCACTTGTCAGCTGCGAGTGCACTCTCCGATCGCCTTTTTGTTCTTTTGGTATTTCATTGCAGTAAGTGAATTATGAACAGCAATGAAATCGGGAAATTAGTTGTAACATGACGAGAGGTACATGTGGTTGAATCCGTGTGTCTAACCAGCAGTGGACCAACAATGATTTGTCCCATTTTACGGCGCATAATGATCCAGATGGTGATGAAGTAACAGGTTGTAATCGATCAAGTTCTGATAGTTGTGATTCCGAAAATCCAATGCGACTATAAATGTCGAGGGACATTGTCCGGGAATCCTGACTCTTGTAGCGTTATCTGTTCAGTGGTACGTTCATTATTCTGTCACCCTCATCATTACCGTGTATTTGTTTACACTTATCGCGCTATGAATTGAGATCTCAAGTTTTCGGTAACAGCAGTCCCGATAGTTTTTTTTTTGAAATTAAAAGTAGAAACGGAATGATACAGTAAAATTCATTTCACCTCCAGGATAAGCTCCAGATTGCGATACCCTTTGCAGCATCTACCCGTCTAGGGTGACCGTTTTTGATGGACCCCGTCAACAGTCGTCCTGGAGTAATCCTGCAGTACTGAACAACCATTTCGCGAGGAAAACTATAACGTATCCTTGTGACTTTAGTGATCTGGTTGCTGTCGGATGTTTTGCACATCTCCATTTGGTCCAGTGCTTTTCTCGTGCAGAAAACAGAACACAGTGTACCAAATGAATTGAGCACCTTCAATGGCAGCTTGGTACCAAATGTATTCTTATTTTGGGTGGGCATTCGTCAAGTCCTCTGTCCAGTAGTTGCCTGATGTAGTGCACTAGTAATTACATTTTACTTCGTTTGTACCTTTAGAAGCCGGATCAGGACTGTGTCGTATGTTGGGAGAAGTTGACGTGTTCACGACAACTGCCGTGTGGGCACATTTTCCACTTAGGCTGCCTACACATCTGGATCGAGCGAAGCGCAGACTGTCCGATCTGTCGCACACCACTTGATGCCAGTCGCTGGGTCCTACCTTCCAACTCCAAACTGGGCTCGTTGACATCAAATACTCGGCCAGCGAAACTTTCCGATGTGGTTCGCCTTCCATCCACACTTGCAGGAACTTGTAATCCAGTCGATGCCAACTCTGAAAACATGTATTTGACAGAAAATGCGGTAGAGTCTAGCTCACGTGATCTCACAGAGCATGCGTGTGGAGCATCTGAAGAGTGTTTTGGGCCGAATTCATTTGGAGTGGTATTTGAGAACTCATTCTTCCGACAAGATAAAGACCTTGGCTCGAATCCTCATTCATTGTCGGCTCTGGTGAGCATAAACAGTTTTCTGAACCTTTGTAACGAACCACTGCGGAGTCCAGGGTCAAACTCGCAACTGCTTTCATCCCTGAGACCGAGTCTTTCTACTGGTTTTGAGACTACGCCGAAGATGGAGTTGGTGAGTGGTCATTTGTTACGTTATGTCTCCTGCATAGTTTTGCAATGTTCATTTTCTATTCTGTGTTCTCTGGCGTTGCTGTCCATATTCGGATGGAGATATATCTTCGAAAGGTTCGACCATAGTTTGGACTGCTACCTCAAGACTCGCAGTCCTTTCACACCCCGCCTCATACCTGCACACACTTGCCTAACCGGACACATGCAAACAAGATGGCTCAAGTGGTTAGAGCGCGAATTTACTGACCGAAAGGTCTGTGGTTCGAACCCGACCTCTATCTCTCGACTTCCCCTGTCTAGACTTGGGCAACCTGGCAGTATCCCAGCCCTCTTGCTTCCTTTGAGTGGCATGGCAGTTAGACACCGAAAGAGTGTTACTGCTGAACGACTTTTTTAAACGAATCTATCCATGCATACTGTTTCTCCCCAATCGGTATCTTATTATCCCGTGTCACCGGCCCTGATTCGAGCCACACATCCTTGTTAGAATTTTGCCAAATCTGTCGCGGTTTACACACGGTCGTTTTTCCGGCTCAGGCTACGGGTCAGTTAGAGTATCTACGGTCCGCTATCCACTAGAGCACTCGAACAATCAGATCATCATTTTCACCTGCTATTGGTATCCTGCATTTATCTCTTGTCAAGACAACAATATTGGGGTTGAGATGTTCTCTGAAATACAAAATTTCGTCAAGGTTTGTCACACAGCTTCCGTTGCCATTTGCAAAATACACCCTGTTGCGGTATTTTCAGCCATTGTCTAAGCACTTTTGTACATCGCTTTAGGTTGATAATATCAACGACATTTCCAGAGTCCTCTCTGTTCTGGTTAGTTGGCAATGCCTCCAACTCATTTTGTGACAGCAAATCGAAGTTTTCGGGTGAATTTGCAGTGTATGTTCACGTCCTTTTCATAAGCTTTATTTTAACTTCGTTTTATGGTCGGTCGTTCTGTGAATCCTCTCCGATCAATCGTGAATTAAACACACCGTTTGGCAAACTGCACTCCATTTAACCTGGCCCATCGACCTTTTAGGCAAGTATCAGATAGCGAACACTCCCAATCTTTCCTTCGCTTGACTCAACGTTATTGTCCCTTCTTATAGCGTGGCCTATTAGCCCGTTGGCCTAGCCAATCAATTCAGTCAACTTATCAGCCATAAACCGTGTACCGTAAGCACATTGGTTCAGCTGCCACAGTTTCGATCACCGGGCATTAGGAGAGTGTGGCATGTGCAGCCGAGCCTTCGAGGTGATGGCATATCTGGTTAGTTCGGGATCAGGGTAGCTCTGATTCATGAATGCCACCAACTGCGCGATCGAGCCATTGGCCTCAACATTACTAGTCCTGCTTTTCCACCAGACCCTGCGCGTAAAGGCCACGTCTGATCCATAAAGCAGTATGAATCGCAGTCTTCCCTTGACGGTCAAACTGACGTCATTTCGACGCCATACGTGCCAGAAGTTGGCAAAAGCTGTCTTGGAGCTCCCGATCCGGAAAGTAACCTCATCTCTAGTCAGTGCACCGGAACTTATACAACTGTCTAGGTAAACAAATTTATCCACAACTTCGGTTGGCTCGTATGCGAGCATGAGGTTCGGGTTTGGTCCCACCTAGTCTTGTATCAGCACTTTATAGTTTGCAGGTGTGAAGTGCATGCCAAACCTTGCGGCAGAGTTATTTAGGTCATTTGAAATGGTTTGCATTTGGGACGTATCTGAACCAAGGAGAGCAATATCGTCTGCATACTCTGTAGGGGAATGTCCGGGGAGCATTTCGACTTCCGAGGTTTCAGAGACAGGGAGAGAAATTTCAAGCAGCACATCAATAACAAAGTTGAAGAAGAACGGTGAGAGAATGCAGGCTTGCCTTACGCCACTGGTCGTGGTGAACTTGTAGCGGTCATTTCCTTGTTCCTTCAGCACACTTCGCTTAATCAGTTTTTTTGGCCATTTGGCCTAGTTTGGTGAATCTACTAATACCTGCAGCATGTGCCATATTTACAACCTTGACACAAGTCAGACAGTGTCTGGTTTCATGCCTCTGTCAAATCCGAAAGGTGCTATGTGAATTCACACTCCATCACAAGGTAGATCATAAATATATGCGCGTGCACATATACAAAAAATGTAACCCATTAGCATGGTGCATCTTAACTGCACGCCACACCAGCTCTTGAGTCTAGCGTCAACAAACTGCCTACGGATAACAAGGAGCAAGTGTGCCGACAGTACTGTCGGCCTCTTCACTGGACCTCACCAAGGACCGAACAAACTGACAAGTCTCTTCACTTTGGTATGCCTCATTTTTTTTACATTGTATTTATATTCATAAGGTGCACCTAACCTTGTAATCTATTCAACGGTAATGCTCAAACCTTATTGGTGTCTCACTCTCTTCTGATATTCGAGCTCAACTTCTGTTAACTAGAGCACTAATGGTTGGTGGGCCCGGCACAAGCTTGACGCATACTCGTACGTGCCCACAGAAGTTCGCATGCAGAGAGGTCATAAGGGATATACATTTGGCGGAGACAGCTCTGATCGCTAGACAGTAATACAGATCGACAGTCAAGAGCAGTTTTCAGATCAAGAAAAACGATCAGCGTGGGAAGTCCTAAAACGTGGCGCTGTTCAAGAACTTGTCTCAAGGGGAAGATATGATCGATGAATCCTCGGCCACGAGCCCATCCCTTCTCGGTAGTCGACCAACCTGCGCAAATTAGTGCCAGATATCACCTTAGTTTCGACGGATACCAGGCTGGTGCCACGCTGGTTTTTTCATGACGTTTTTGCGCGATTTTTGAAGACTTGGATTATGTTCGAAGAACTCCATTCGACTAATAATCTTTTTCGTTCCAAATCTTCTCGCAGAATCGTTCAGCTATAGCACCCTTTCCGTGCCTAACTGCTATGACACAAGAAAGCACGAGGGCTCTCAGGTTGCTGATGTCTAGACAGGGGAAGTTGAGAGGTGGAGGTTGGCTTCGGGCCACGGACCTTCCGGTCAGTAAATTCGCGCCACCACCGAGCCACCTTGTTGAGCTTGAGGATCGATATCTCACGTTGGATTTCGGTTGTTGACGACTGACTGGTGTCGATGTTCCATTCAGCTCACTGGGTTCTTCCAGCGGTTGTGATGGAGGCAAATTTAACTGTTTTTGAAGTACTCAGTTCACCGCTGAAATCGACGATCGAGGGCGTGAATTACCGTTCCGTCTTTTTCGCATTTCGTTCCACTGCCACTTGTCTTCTTTTGACCGGTTGATCGAATCAGTTTAAATAGGGCACGGCTGTTGCCTATAGCGAAAGCATTCATCTCCTGGGCCTTCGAAATCCACCAGCGTTCCCTGTATTCTTGAAGCTCCTGATTTTCCTGTGTTTGGGGGGTCTATGTGCGCCATATTAGTGGCTAGTTTCCGGTGTGGCCTTTCTGGCAGCAATAAGATCTGCTGATCTCGATGATATCCAATGTTCATTTATTCGAGTCGGATTGCTTGGAGAAACAACTCTAAAAGCTGAGAGCACAGCCTATTTCACTCGCTTCCATTCAGCCTCCAAGAAATCTTCGTCATCCGCAAGACTGTGAGCTTTGAGCTGCTTTTTGGCCTAGTCAGCTCGATGATCTTGAGCAACTGAAACGTGTTGAATTTGATGAATGGAACTACTTTGCTTTGGATCACATAATGCCGATGGAAAGTCAAGTGGTAACCCGGCTCGCACAATTCAATGATCAGAGTTATGTTGCGTACCCCAGAAGCAACGACAATCTCTAATTGACGCTCTCCATCGGTCACTGACAGCCACATGGTACAGTTTGGTCCATGACTGTTTTTTGGTTGGTGGCCTCCAAATAACTCGATGTGACTGTTTGTGTTGGAAGTTCATATTGGCCAGGAGCAAACGAAGATCAGCATAAACTGAAGAAGTTGCTCCCAATTATCCGTAGGCCGCTAATCAATTAAATTAACTTAGCTTTGGTTCTTCCGGACTTAGTCGGTCAACTTGAGCATTCACATCACCCGCTGGGATTACAATACCCGTCCTTGTTGCTGATCAAAGCATTCGTGACAAATCTTAATAAAACCCATCCTTTTCACTCTCAGAACTGAAGTCGTTTAGATCGTATGTTGATACGACAAATACCCACCGTTTACCGCGATGACTTCAATTGATCCTAATTGAGCCAGGCAACCGCAAAGACGACTGATTATTAGGATCTAGTCTAGTAAGGAGCTTTCAGCATTGGGGCTGAGTGCAACTCCCACGTCGTAGATAGCACCAATCATTCCATCAATACCACTGAATGTCCGAAGTGTGGAATGTGAAACATCTGATTTCGTCCTAATCGACTTAAGGTGCTCGACCGAAGTGGGGTCCTGCGTGCAACGTACATAGACAAATATGGAAAGCAAGGTTTCTACAAAAGATGGCTGTCGCCCAATTTGAGATAGAGTACGGACATCAAACGCTGCAACGTGAATCGAATCACACGACCATACGGTATCGCAATCATTTCTTACCACAGTTTACTGAAACTGATATGTTGACGTTGCGTTATCTAGGTTTGAGCGCAATAGGGCCACAGTTGCAACAATTCGAGTTTTTCATTCGCCGGTCAGTCGGGATAATGGACCCATTAAGCTACGAAAACATTGGACCGTACGCTCAGCCAAATTTCAGTCACCATAGGATAGGAACATCGATCGTATTGTGTGTTTGTCTTCGACACTGTCAGGTGACGATGCCGAAGTGTCTCCGTTTAATCAATGAGCAGTGGACGAATTTGGTGCATCTGTGTCACAAAGGGGGCATCACTTATGTCATGTTACCATTGTGCAAACAGGAATCAGGCACGTTCTGACTGGCATCGTTTGACGATGACGTTTGCAGTGATCTGCCGAAACCAAATCAAGTGTTCTTGTGTAACAGCATGCTTTCACTTGCGAGTGTCACAAGTTAGAACGCTTGCAGCGGCGAAAAGAAACTGCAAGAATCCAACAAATTTTCGCATGATCATTTTTGAGCAATTTCTTTAAGAATTCTGATCTGCGTGCGAATGGAACAACACGTGTCGAGATAAAAAAACGCTGACATTTTTCATTCAGGCTTTGTAGTGACGTTTAAGAAGCAAAGTAGCTGGGTAGTGTGTAAGGATTTGCAACGTTCACGAAGTCTTTATTTAGACTTTATTTAGAAAAAGAAGCCAACGTAGAGGGTAACTTCGTATCAGTATTTCACGATTCAGGCATATCTACTGATGCTACAAGCTGGATGACAATCACTCTAGCAGTAGCTAAAATCTATTTTTTTTTTGAAATCGCTAGCAGTTCATGTTTATCAGTTGTTCAACACATTTGTGGTTTTTAACACCTGTTTTTTCGTATCGAGTTCGAGCTGTGGATAATGGAGGGCCTCGCCAAAATCATGATATATAATCATATTTTTTGCTACCAGTCGCGTAAGTGAAAGAATAAAAATAAAATTGGTCAGCTGTAGTACCTTTTCGATGCCTAATTACCATGCATGAGGGCCAGGATACTACCAGGTTGCCCAGGGAAAGTCTAGGGGAAGAGGTCGTATTAGGTCCACGAACTTTCCGACCAGTAAATTCCTGCTCTAAAAACTGAACCATCTCGGCCCGTCGCGTAAGTGAACCAATATCTGGTCACAAAAACGGTTGATAGAAGTAACGTATGCATCATTGTAATCAAGCTTGTTCGTGATCATGATGAATGCGTTCGCTTCTTCGCTTACACGTGCAGTCGATCCCGGTTAACTCAAAATGGCGGCTCAGGAGTACGGAAGCCAAAACTGAATCGATTCCCGCTTATTTACGTCATGACTGGGGCATGTGTGTGATTGTCTTCAACCACTGATTTTTTCCTTTTTGGGATCCCCATTCAGGGAGACGGAGATGATCAGCGCAGCTGAGTTTGTTGTTAATGGCCTCTGTACATTTCTGCCAATTCATTGCTTGACCTTCCCTGGCTCGTTTCCACCGTTCGCGTGGTTGTGCGAAAAGACTGTCTGAGGAAGTCTGTTGATGCAGCCAACGCAACCTTTGGAGGGTGGTCAGTTCTTCGAAAACTACATGACCTACTGGGGCATTATTGGTCTGATGTTCCCACCAGACTCGGGTAGTGCTCCATGATGAAACGCTGAAAGTTTTTGACAATCTTCGCTCACAACGACCGGGTTTCTGACCCATATTACAATATGGAGCGGAGTGCAGTATCATAAGTTCGACAGTTGTCAGATGAACGATGCCGCGGTGCTCCACAGCTGTGACAGTTTGAAAAAGCTGCTCTAGCCCTCACAATCCAGATGGAGATATCGTCTTTTACTAGGACTGATACAATCTCCCAGGTACATAATTTCCCCCACCTCAGTCGCCCCATCCGCAATCCTGAACTTCGGGTTCAAGTCCACTCAACCTCGCACTAGCACTTTACACTCTGCAGGTGTGAAGCGCTTACGAAACTGCGAGGCAGAATTAAACTGTTACAATTACAGTACTATGGAATTAAATCCCAGAAGAGCTACGTCGATATCTGTGAGAGAGCGTCTTGGGTGAATTTCGATCTCAGGCGTCAGATGCCTTGAGTGAGTTTTCCACGGTCATATCAGATTAAAGAGAGACGAAAGCGGACAGCCTTGCCTGACATCATTTGGTAAAGTAAATTCGGGCAAGAGCTTCCTGTACTCCTACATTCGTACACTGACCGGAAGGTCCGTGGTTCGAACCCGATCTCTGCAACTTCCCCTGCCCTGTCTAGGCTTGGGCAACCTGGCAGTATCTAGGCCCTCGTGTTTCCTTCGAGTAGCTTGGCAGCTAGGCACCGGAAGGGTGTTACAGCTGAACCTTTTTTTTACATTCGTACACGATAGTTGGAGAGTTGACCGCATTTGAGCCTTGTATCCGTGTTTCATAGACATGGCATGCATCAATTTAAGGAAGAAATGGGTCTGAGTAAGCTTAGTCTATTTGGCTAGTTTGACGTCGAGTACGGACGTTGAAAGCTGCCATGTAGAAGACACCCCGTGGATTTAGTCATTTGGTTTATTGTTAACGGGTAGCGGAGTCAATAAGGCATATCGGTCAAGTAAGTGACAATCACATGATTCAGCAACATTTGTTTTATAGTGATAAGTGGTTGGGGAGGGATATCGGTAGACAAAGATCCGTGTCAGCGAATGATACTTTCCAGTTGCGCAGGCCGTGGAACGGGTTTTATTTGACGTATTTGACCTTGAGCCACATCAAACGCACAGTAAAGCCTAGTCGTTTTTGACCGTACTGGATAACCCACCAGCGGTCATGGTGATCAATGCAGTACTCAATCCCGGCCGTCACATCAGGATGCATCTATAAGTCGGGGTATGCTGTAAAGATCCTCCATTTTTCGTGAAAGTTACAGAAATTGATGGATTTTGCTTGCGTAGCCTCATGCAAGTTGCGATTGGATCGATCATTCACGCACACATATGCAAACAATGCTGGTCAAATTGAATATGCCGTTGCTTTCAGCTCTCCTTCAAACTTGAAAATTAACCTAGATTCTGAAATATAAACTGTGTGCTCGTGAATTCGATGACAGACGACCATCTCGATTTCCCGCAGCTACTCCCTCGCGACGACGAAATTCCCTTCCGGTTTCCATTCTGAGGTCTCATATGCTCTGACCTGTTCTAGGTGGTTGACTTTCCTTGCATCCTTTAGCAATGGCCTGCAAATATCATGCCACTCGATCCATACATAACCTAATAGGACAATTTAAACTCTCCCAGGATATTTTCAGGACAGCCTACTTATCTGCAACAATGTGACATATTCGAGACCTGGTGGTAATTTTTCACTAGCAATTGATCTATTTTCAAGAGTAAGCGAAACAGTTAACGTAGGCTCGAGGTGATCTTGGCTCACTATTCATGATACAAATTACGTTTAGGTGTGGGTCGATCTTGTTGACTCTGGTTTTCACGGTTGACTTTATCTTTAGTTTTTAGTTAGGATTACCTGGACTATTTAAATCGTTACCGCTGGAGGTAGTCGGATGTGGAAGTATACTAATTTCACTTTCGGATCAGCGCTTTTATACAGGCGACAAACAACTGTCTTCTGGTTTCTTGGCATAACACTACTCATGAGGTTGCTGAGCACTCTTAGACAAGACCACTACCGGCTTCGTCCTTGTGGGCCATCAAGTAGACGTGGTTCCCGCGTTCCCACCTACCTAGTCTTCCTCTTGAACGCAGGTTTTGTTAACGAGGGGCTCACTGAATTTCCCGTTTATATTTCCCAACCGGATTTGTTGCATGAAGGCCGCACCATGTATTCGATGTTTCAACTAGATCCAAGTATATTGTAGCAAACTCTTCTGATTTCATTTGCGCTCAGCCCGGTGAGTGGAATATCTCATTCTATTTCAAAGTCGTACACATTCCTATCGTACGAAACATTGCAAAGGGTTGTCTTGAGCAGCTGAGAATAAGTTTACTTTCGTTGTGTTCATCCTGTTCGTGGGCCGTGTCCGAACAAACAACAATGCACTTACTTGAGCAAACAGACATCTTTTCGTCGGTTGTGCTGATGATTCTCAGCCTCCTCCAGTTTCAAAACTAGGACCGCGTCATTTGACATTGAGACACAATGATGTTTTCACAATTTATCGTACGAGATTAACGCATACCGGCTCTCATCTGTGTCACCAGCAGAGTTAGAGCGTGCGAAGTGTCTGGTGCAGCGCGTCTGAACTCGGCGTCGTAGTAGTAGTCAATAAAACGGGAACTCCAATCCGAGCTAGATTGATGATGACTAAATAGAGAATCTCAGTGAAGTCTTTCTCATGTAAGTGAAGCCATCGATGCAGAAAAGTCGAGTAGCACCATACAGCCGTTCCCTCTTATTAGAGATCATCGTCACTGCACATCTCACGAACTCGCCACCTCCCGGCCAATAGTTGAGAAATATGCAAAACTTGATAAGGGATGTGCTTGAGTCATTTAGGATATAGCGCCACTCATCCGTTATAAAATCTATATCACGTGTTCACCTGACTGGCTCATCGAGTGACGCCCTCAAGTGAAAGGTTCACCCACCTTGTGAATTACTTTTCCTTTCGAATTAATAGTTCGTTAATGTTTTAGAGCGGTGCGAAAACACGGTCATCTAGTTCCATAAAAGTAATCAAAGTGATATCCCAAAGGTTCTCGAAATCGCCCCAAGAGTACGTGCTGTCAGGACCAAGGTCAATTACCTGCAGGAATATACGACATGGAGCAAACTTAATAATGTGATAAACGATATCATCAATGTTCGCACCCACCCGCCGCTCCTCTGTAGGTCGGCCCCAGAACTCAACATTCGGAGTTTCCTAATAATGGAGGTTGTAGTCCCATGTTTTTCATCCGGATAGTTACCATTGTATCTAGAGGAAACAAACTACATCTTGCCTCAGCTAGGCCTCCATATTTTACCATGGAATGCATTTTATAGTTTCTCACTATGCTTCCCTTGTCTCCTAACCCTATCTTACATGGTGCACCGCGCAATCTACTCTTAGCTGTCATTTTTTCGTCAGTTGGTCTACGCAGTTCGCACGATCTCGTGAAAAGTACTGTTGAACAAGCGCATTTTCCACATTTTTAGGGTTCATCCATGGCTACCGACTTTCAGGTGTTTTACACTTCACCTGAACGTCGAAAACAATCACTGGAACAGCGGAAGCAGAATCTCCTACAACGAGCAAGGCTGAAATTCTCTTCCTGGGAACAGCCAATTGATTTTTGACTATCCACTTGCACCTTTCCCCGTTCTTTTCCCATTTTTTAAGCATGACAAACCACTTTTGAACGATTATTGTAACCCGTTTTTCTGGTAACGAGTTGTAGAGTTCCCAAAGCGCCTTACAGTTTTTCATTTTTTTTATCGCTTCTTCCATGCGAACTACCAATTCTGAACCTTTGATTTATACTGTACTTGGCTCGTTTAACAGCAATGCTTCGCAACGCTTCCTACACAACTATGCTGCTCTACATCATATCAGGTTGCGAGGCACCGACATAAAATATTTTCAATGGTCTTGCCCAAATGATTTAACGCTATCCTTTTGTCCAGTTGTGGGAGGTCCAAAGAGGCACAGATTCATTTATACTAATGAGTTTATGCAAGGAGTTATTTAGGAGTAGGCCGTATGAATGTCTAGCTTCAGGAGTTTAGTGTCGATTTGTGGACTATCCGGAGTCCAAATCTGCGGTATATCATTATGAATATTTGCCGTTTCAAATATCTCGTTTGACCAGTCATCAGCGGCAGTTGGTTGCCGTCTGAAGAAATATTTCACATTACTTGCAACTAGCACAATCTTAGAGACAGTATTCGATCAATGCCTTGTAGTACAGTCTCGCGTGGATAGAAGCTGGTCAAGGGAGTCGATCGATTAAACAACACTTCCTTGAACACGTAATACTTTCTACGACATCAATATGCGGTGATTAGTGCATATAAATAGGGCATTCAGCAATTTGTCAGGACAGTGGTAGGTCGGATGCTTTTACGGATTGGTGGCAAGCACAGCGGACAGATGAACAGTGAATCAGCTGAATGGTTTCTAGTCAGTAGTGATAATATGTTTCTGTAACTGCATTTGAAATGTGACCCCTGAAGATCCTATTCAAATCAGACACTGTACAAGTGGTCATGCCTCAACCTATCTGTCGTTGAGCCCAAAAATGTCCATCGTGCGTTGGAGAAGTGGTGGCAACACCCTCACTTCATTTATCAGATACCTAGTGTTCGGCCCCCGACAGGGCCCAGGATATGCACTGATGCTGGACTCTGACAAGAGGTAAACTCAACTCCAGTCCTTCCCCCTTTGTTATAGACTCACGGGAATAGTCGTGCCAGAACGCGAGTAGGACTGTTCAAACGGAAGTGATATGAACGTGAATTCTGCAAATCTGTGGAAGATATGGTGTCAACACCACTTACTTACACGGTACGTGCCGTCTAACAGTAGATTGAATTCAGACGAGTTTAAAATGCAGGATATATAGTTACTGAGTGAAATTCGTCTTGGTAATCATGACTCAGTGCTCTTCTACAAAGTGTCTGCTTTGTGCACCAGGAAACCTGGACATATCATGAATGCATCAGTTAACTACATGAATGGCTTAGAAGTGAAGGCAATTCTACCAACAGGGGTTGAATTGGTTTTAATTTGGTGGTATGCACAACATCGCAATAGTTTTTTTCGGAATTATTTGGTGAATTCTTTGAATGATTAGCTTGGAGAATGTAGCGATTTCGCAGCTCTATCACTCCACTTGATTCGTCAATTTTCGAAAGTCACGTCTGGTAGAATTAACGGACATTCCGTGGGCTGGTATCACGATAACCTTTGTGAAAACTGGCGAGAAGTAAAACGATTATTTCAAAATAAAACTTGGTATTGGCTATGTCCTGTGCCTAACAAATCACAATTCCCTAGTCTTTTAATGTCATGTGCCGTAAAACATTTTTGGTTGCTAGTGACTGATCAACGTGTGGACAGCAGTGTTTTGTTTGGCTTTTTAGAGATTCCCTTTAATTCATCATTTTGTTCTTGACTGTTTTGGCATCAGGTATCCTAAACGGTATTTTGCGTTCCAGAATACAGTTGTTCTAATGGAATACATCCCTTTCTGAACCTGAGGCATTTCCAGTTTTGTGTTAACTATTCGGTGCGTCTTCAAAATCCGACTCCATCGGTCACAGCTTTGTTCTGAATACCAGACAAACAATTGCATGTATTTCATAGCTTCATAAGGTTAGGTACAACGATATATAAATACAGTTTTGTGGAATGAGCGTGTACGCAGTTTGACCAGAACTAGGTGGTCGAAGATTTAGTGGATAACTGAGCATCACAACCTAGTCAAGAAACAACCGGGAGAAAGAGTGGTCATTCAGTTGTGAAACACTTGAAATCAAGTCTTTCTGGAATAAAAAAGAATTCTCGTCGCTTTGGTGAATTGCGTTCACCAGAGTGAGTAATCACGTGAACAAAATGGATGAGTTAAGAGTCTAACTCTCAAAGTGTCGATGAGTGAAGTTCAGTTGTTTATTTGGAATCCGTGTACCCTTTGTACCCGTGATGTAGTGTAGCATTACGCGCACAGTGCGGTCAAAGCCGGGGGTAAATTCATCATCATCATCGGAAGCATGACGTCAGTGTTCGGCACTGATGCTTCGCTGCTTGTACTTGATTTATCTTCTGATGACCTTAGAGGAGTGCCTTTTCACGGTTTCATATAGCTGGTTGTGTCAGTTTAGCGGAATGTGGAAATCTAGAACAACCTGGACGTGGATTAATGATCTCTTGAAATTGATATATTCATCTCAAGGGAATACATGAACTTTTTTGAAGACAAATTGGAAGGTGAAAGTGGAAAGGGGATTGCAGACCGGAATGAAATACTCCTATCTCAATTCATTTGCCTTCAATATGCAACATACCTTTCTTTCTGAATGTGAGGAAGATCAGATTCCTGAAGATTATCCCAGAATTGCCTAAATATCCCCATGGTTTGAAAAAGAACACAGTGACGAACGTTTATGTTTTCGAGTTCTCCTCGTCAGGTCATATCTTATAGGAGCGAAAAATAAGGTGCGCAGCGAAGATTGGTTAGTAAAATGCAGAACATGGTTGTCTGCCCGCCCCTTCCCCCATCTAGTACATGGTAAATGATTTATTTGGAATTGACCCCGTGCCCGGTGTCAATTAGGTGGGACGCAGTTGAGCTTCTGGCTGAACTGTTGTGTCTAATGGTATTCCGACAAGAGAGGTGCTCATGTATTTTCCTATAAAGTTGCCGTGTCGTACGCCAAATGTACTCCACACAAAGGGTTTGTTGTGAAATAAGACCGCAGAGTTCCAGCCGGAAACGTGCGTTGTAGGGATTGAAACAAGCGGCGATTGACTATGTCCGCCAGCAGATCGCCTTTATACGGTAAACTCAAGTATATTGGCTTTTTTCCAACGTTGGATAGGGCGATCGGACATATTCTTGGTTATAGAGTTCTCCGAGTAGCCATCTGCCCGGAGCACGTTAGAAACGTTCTGCAGTTCAGAGTCCAGTGTAACAGCAGAGAACATGCGTTTTTCTCGGTTCAGTAAAGTGTGAATCAGGGTTCATTTCCGCCTCAGTGGCACAAAACTCAGGAAGTTTGTGTACTGTCCCGCCCACATTAGCTTTCTGTAGACAGACCTCTGAATTGAACACGTGGAAAGTCTGACTAACTTAGCGTCCAGGAAGTGGAAAGCGTTGTCACTTTCAGTTTCAAAAATGAACCGAATGGAAGAATGTGCTCTGTTGGATTTGCTCAGGAGAGCATCCATTTCGAAACCGTTTGATACTAGCATAAAGATATCACCTACGTGCCTTCGATGAAAGCGCATACGTCTAATCTCTCCATTCAGTCAACCAAGCACTAGTTTGCCCACAAAAATGTCACTCAACAAGGGATAAAGAGGAGAACACATGGTGACTCCATCGGTTTTTTATAGTGTGATATTAAATTGGAATTGTACGTTGAAAGTACAGTGAAAAAGAGGTTCCTTTATGAGGTGATGGGGATTGGGAGTGTCAAATCCGATGAGTCAATGTATTCATAGATAAAATCAATAGTGTTCAAGAGTGGGACGTTGGTAAAAAAAGGAGGTTACGTCAAAAGAGCACATAAATTTGGAACCAATATCAACATCTTTTATCAGCTCTACAGACTCACAGCTATCACAGACACTATACTGACAAACATTTCAGCGTACGGGTTGTAAAATCTCGACCAGCCATGGGGCAGTTACGTGAAATGAGGAATTACGCATATCTAAAATCAGCATCAATGGAACATCTTTCTTACGAGTCTTGGGCAGACCATAAAGTCGCAGGGTTGTTGTAATGTCAGTTTTCAGGTGTTGGAATAAGACTTCAAAAATCATACGTTCATTCTTCGAGTGCTTCCAACAATTTGTTAGTCTTACCTCAGTTGCTTAGGTCCGGCCCTTTGCTCGTTGCTGAATTTTGAAGTGTCATTCAAGATCTGTACAGGCTTTCTGAGGTAGTTATTTCTGTTCATAAGTACTATTCCAGCTCCTTTGTCAGGCTTTATTGGCAGTATATCACTCTTCGTTCTTAAAGCTTTGATGTTTCTCATTGAGAAGACTGTTGTGAACCAACCTGGCGTGCCTATATTAATAGCTGCAATTAACCAAATCGGATTTGATACAGCTAAAGTTAGGCGTTGGCGTTAGGAACAAATCAGAAGTTTGATCAAGTAGGTTCTCAAATTGCACCTCAATTGCGGATTTGTCTTTCCTACGGCGTGGGCAGCCGAATTTCGGCCCTAGCGATAGGACCTCCAATAGCGTTTGATCGGGAACAAAGCTGGAGCACTTGTGTATGTACCTCTCAGGGTTTTCGAAGAATTTCGCTCGCGGCTTTTCCTCCCTCAAGGTTTTGTTCAATTTGAATGTTTTCTTATCAACCTGTTTTGTAGTAATACTTCTAACGTAAGATGTAAATTCCTGTCGTTCATCACTTGAAAGATCCTGTACAACGTGTAGTCTTTGATTGGTCAGTCGTTAATACTCGATCGCTTGTGTGTACGGTGCATCAAACTGACTGCGTGTATGCCGTTTCAGTGAGATGTCATCGTGTGGCCTTCAAAATATAGCGCCAGGATGTTGTGCTTTCACATACTCGCTGGTGTGTAATAAAGTTGCTGTGTTCGTTGTCGGCGCGTTTTTTGGCATTAAGCCACTGGAGCGGGGGCAGCAGTCAGATATATCACTAAGGTAACCACCACGCTAGGAAGTCCAGTAACTTGTGTCATTCTTGGACAGAATGGTGTAAGTGGCTGTTGATCAGGTTGCAGCTGGTCTCTTCACCTAGCTTGACAATTAGTTTGCAAAAGTTTCGTCACCATGCGAGAAGATTTGGGGTGATTTCTCCAATTCTACTCGAGTTTCTACATTTTCTAAGGGGTTCTTGACGTCCCAAGCGTGACTGTTAGTTTGGCTTTTAGTTTGATTGGTCATTTCAGATTCTGCCCTCCCGCATGGCGACGAAACGTTTGCAAGTCGATTGTCATACTCGACGAACGGATCAGCAGCCAGTTTACCCACCCGATGTACTTTTATATATAAAAACTGTCAGAATGGCATCAGCTGTAATGGAATTCCTCTGCCTCGATATGATATGCCCATAAAATACAAAGAAACAGTCACGTGATGCAAGCGACATTCAGCCCCTTTAACCGATCATGGAAAATGACAGAGAGCATACGTTCGTATATCATATAGCCCACTGTTCTTAATCACAGTAGAGCAGTCTTCTTTTAAT